AGTTTTCCTGGACTCACAGTTCCTGTTCAATGAGCAGCTGTTAAATATTTGTTGTACCAGGTGTGCTTTTTTCTAGTTCAGAAGGTTCTTCAAATCTCCCGTGGCTTGACTGCTACATCATTACTTGCTGTTAATATATACACTGTGCAGTGGTGGTATTCTACCAGTTCGGCCCGGTTCTGCCGAGCCCATAGCAGTGATGAGCAGTGGAGACGGAACCGATTCTCTCCACCGCTCTGCTGTTGGGCCCGCCTGCCCCCCCCGCCTGGGCTCCCATACTCACCTTTATCCTCTGAATTTGATGCACAGCTACTTTGCGTGGCGCAGAAGAGGGCCGCGTGGCAGCTTCCGAAGCGACCGGGATCGTGCAGGCTTGCAAGAGGTCAGTTAGAACACCTCTGCGCCTGCACAAATGCCTCTGCGCCTGCGCAAAGTGCGTGTTTGGTACACGCATGCATGCAAAGTGTGTGCATGTGCACAAAGCGCGCCCAAATATTTGAATCCCACCACTGACACTGAGCTGATGCACCAGAGACAAATTCCTTGTGTGTCCAATTGGCCAATAAAGAAATTCTATTCTATTCTTGCTTGGAGAGTGGGGGGAAGCTGAAGAAATATAATAAATTGTAATTGATCAGAATCCAATGTTTCATTTTTTCATTGCTGCTTAAACATGGACTTTTCTATCAACATATAGAAGTATCTAAATATCAGGAAACCATATATAACAACAATTCCATTTCTTAAGTAAACCATTTTTAGAATTCTATGCATTACAGATTTTCTTTTCAAAATGTATATTCATTTATATGGTCACCCATCTCACCAATGCAACTCTGGGCAGCTAACAAGAATTAAAATACAATTTAAATACAAAATCTATTTTTTAAAAAATGAAATGTACTTCACATAGACCACAGGTGTCAAACTTGTGATGTCACGTCACTGTGACTTTTTGCTTTGCTAAACCAGGGATTGCAGGTGGCCAGGGCGTGAAACTTCCGGCTCATGGGCTGCAAGTTTGACACCTGACGTAAACTATACTAATTTCATTAAGGTCATTTTTAAACTGTGTATAATGGCCTTTCAGAAAATCACATGTATGTAACTTTCATTTTTACAGCAGTTCTTTCTTATTCTTCAGCCAAAATTCATAGGACAAAGAAATTAGAATTGAAGAAACAAATAATCTGTATTTTCCTTAAATTACAAGATACATTGACTCTTTCATATCTGCAAGTGCCAGAAACCACATAGTTCAAGTTTAAAGTTGAGCTGCCTTTTGTCTCTCTCCTTTTCCCTACACCTTCTTCCTTGTCATTGCTTATGCTCATTCTGTGAAGGTTCATATGAAGGTCAGTTTTTAATGTAAGACAATCAATAGTTGTTTTAGCTGGCACTTATGCTAATTTGGCTATTCACTGAGGCTGAAAATACAATACAACTCTGTGATTAATCTAACATTTCATCACATCCTTGACTTTCTATTCAATCTTATTATTTGAAGTCTGAGAAATTTTAAGAACAGGGTGAATGAATTTATTTCAAGATAATATACAGATTTCTCAAAAATAGGATATTATGAATTTTTTTATATGGCAAAACATTTAAATACTTTTCACAGAATAATTTTGGATCTACCAATGTTGACTTTTCAGTCTACATATTGCTAAATAAAACATAATTGCTTCAAATTAACCCTGTACAATTAGTATTAAGCTTTCATTAATTAATTTATTCAATAAGTAATATTGTGCAGCTTTTAAGATTTAATGCACCTATGGAAGGATTTTAAATTCAGATTCCATATCTGATATTTTTCTGTTCATTTTTAATCTGGTGGTATACTATATAATTAATAATTAATTAAGAGTACTTCTGATTAGGAAAATTATGGTAACCACAACAGTTTGTGTCTATTTTCACAGTCATAATGTACACTGAAGATGGTATTTAATTTCGTACGAGATGCAATGACAATAAACTAAACTAAACTAATGCAAAATAGACAAATCAGAGTTCCCACTCTACATTAATTAACTTCTATCCTATTTCTCTAGAGCAGTGTTTCTCAGCTATCAAAGCCCACCCATCTTAAAGCTGCCAAGGTTGAGAAATGCTGCTCAAGAGAATATATGAGCCTTGGAAGATCCAGTTCAATATACAGCCTGGGAAATGTGTCTCCAGGCAAATTCCAGCATAAATCTAAGGGTGGAGCAGTATCTTGGCTTTCTGTTTGCCTCCCTGCTTAAGACACCTTCTGGTTCTTTTTTCCTGGAGCTTTTCTACAAGAACAAAAGTTCTTATTCTTGAATAGGACAAGAGTGGGGTGAATCTTTTCCTGCCTACCTGAGCAGAAGAAGATACATTTAGGAAACTCTCCTGTTAGAGATGTTTATGTGCAGGTGCTGCTGCCACTGTATCTCAAATTCAAGTTAGACTCTCAAGAGATCAGTCATCTGGTATAAGTGAACAAATCAGGTTCAGACTTATCTATAAAAATCCCAAATCATGTTTTTTGGGAAAGGAGCAAGGAGAAAACATGGGTTACAAAGGTAAATGAGATTGAGCAGATTCACAGCCGTAACTATCTCAGAGTAATTTTTGACACCAAAGAATAATCCTGTAGAAGGCATATCATAATGATTACTCTCAGGAAATTTTAGAATCATCTTCTATCATTAGACACTTCATTTTCACTAAGGATGCAATTAGTTCCTTTTGCTCTTTGAGTCCCAAATAGTTCTGATCTTCCCAGGACTACCTGTGAGAATCTGTGCCATGAGGAAGACAATGGAAATGGTGCACATGAATTTTTGGAGAGCTATTCTTGCTATTTGAAGCCAATGCCACTCTCAGGGACTTCAGGCAGGAATGCCTAAACAGCGGTGATAGCCTTGAGAAGGGGTGTCAAACTCACTTGGTCACACAGCAGCTTCACGTGACGTATCAGGACTTTTCCCCCTTCGCTAAACGGGGCATGGGCGTGGCCAGAACGTGATGCATCCTTTGACAGCCCTGTCCTAGAGGATAATAATCAGTTACTGACTAAATACCTAGCTCTTCCCCACTGGATCCTTGTATTGATGGTGGACCATTCTCCTAGCAAGGGGTATGCTGTGGAGTCCAGCCTCCCAGATGTATTCATTTTAACTCTTTGTTATGCAAAGGGGTCATCCTTTCTGAAAGTTGGTAATAATGAAGTAACAGCTGGAAGTCAGTAAGACGCCACATAACAGCAGAACCTGAATATCAAGTAGGCCTTGGATGCTGGCCAAATATCTAACAACTTTAACCTTCCCCAGGTTGAGTAATGGCTTCTTTCAGATATGTCTTCATGGGTTACCATCAGCACTTCTATTACACAAATATTCTAAAACCTTCTATCTGACTGAAGTTTTCCTTTCTGGCTCAAAGCAGATTGAAAGTATTGACTATATCATAATACTATGTCATAATATCTACAAAGAAATGTGGAATTTCAGCTGTTAAGGTGAATAGACCTTTACTATATGAAGGTCTTCCTCTCAATTCCAACTGTGGTATTACTAGCACAGTGCTAAGGTCTGTGTTGTTACTGTTTCAATTGTCCTTGTTTTTATATGGCTTTATGCTTATATATGAATTATTGATTGTAATAATAAAGGTAGTAATAATGTAAATGCTTCCTCCCTCTCCCTCCCTCCCCACTCTCTTAAATAACTGTTAATCATATGAATGCCAAGAAATACTAGAAAAATCTGGCAGACCACAGGGTATTGCTACTTTTTATTTAGGGATAGCACCATGATAAGGAAATTCTAAATAGCAAACATGCATGATTGAGGTCTTAGAAAATTCTAAAGACAAAATGTTAAAATTTAAATATACAGTACAAAATAAAAAATAATCTTATGCAGTAATTCTAGTTTTATATTTACCTATCTTGTCAAAGATAACCACTATCCCTTCTCAGTCCTGGATTTCCCAAGAGATGCCTGGAGATACAGTCTGTTCTGAGGCTGGTGTGGAATGAGTCCCATTTTCTGTTCTTAGTGTCTCTGGTTTTTTAAAAGACAACCTATTTTTTTCTCCAAGGGAAATGTGTGCGGTGGCTCAGTAGAAACTCTAAGCCATATGTTACTATGCTGCTCCCTATAGCATATAAAAAGTATACACATCTGTTTAAATGCCAGGCTTTCGAGATATGAAAAAGACCAAGAGAAATCACGTCAGATTTTTCCCCACCATTAATATAATGGGTAAGCTGTACAATTCAGTTGAGAAACAAACTGAAATCTTTTAAGGGGAAAAATAACAATAAAAACATTGATAAAATGTTTTGCATGCCAAAACACTGTCCCCGACAAAGGGACATTTTTTCTCTCGTGCCATCAATCTGCACCAATAGCTTTTGCATTGGAGGCAAATTCCTTGTGTGTCTAATCACATTTGGCCAAATAAAGTGTTGTATTCTGGCTATGAGAATGGTGAGGGAACTGGAAACCAAGTCCCATGGAAATTATGAAAGGGATCAGGTATACCTAGCCTGGAGAACAGAAGACTGAGGAGAGAGATAAGCTAACTTCAGATGTCTTACTAAGGGTTGTTGTATAGAGAAGGAAGCGACTTTGTCCATTGTTGCTTTTAGAGAGAACCAAATGTCCGAAGTATTTAAGCAGATCCAGAATTAAAAAAGAATTAGACTAGATGGTTTCTGAGATATAAGAACCTCTTAAGATTTATAATTCTGTTAAATGATTTAACTGATAGCTGTGTAACAGCAGCTCTTTGTCTAAAATTGTCAGCAGAATTTGATTTGAACTACTTGGATAGAAGGACTAGATAGAAAATTAAAAGATCTCTTATGTTTTTCTGATACTATATGCTACTTCAGTTTGCATTTTTGTAAAATGCATAAAAAGAAATAGCATCTACATATTTTAAGTTGTTAAAATATAATTATTCCTTTTTCTAATCTGTAGAAACTAAAATGGTTGTTTTGCATTTTTCATTCTTAGGTGCGGTGGATGATGTATTGGATTGTGTTCGCTCTTTATACGTTTACTGAAACATTAACTGACCTCTTGATCTCTTGGTAAGATCTGTATATTTGGAAAGCATGATTATTTATTTAAGTTTTTTCCTGTATCACCGTGTTCATTGCTGGTTGTTGATACTATTTAGCTTTTTACTCTTTAGCTAGATTTCTAGGAAAGGTGGGATTACAAGAATACTATTACATTTATATAAAGCATATCTGAAATATGTGAAAAATTAACAAAAAATACTTCCCCTGAAACTTAGGTTAATTATAAGGAATGTGCCTATTTCTTTGTATCACATAACCACATTATGAATTCTATTTTACAGGTTTCCACTATATTATGAACTGAAGATTGCTTTTGTTGTTTGGTTGCTGTCTCCATATACAAGAGGGGCAAGTTTAATATATAGGAAGTTTCTTCATCCTCTTCTTTCTTCAAAAGAAAGGGTAAGCCTCCCTTCTGTTGTGGAGCAAATATTTATTTTGATATTTTAGAAAATAAATTTGCATTAAGTGGTAGTGGGGATGAAGAATGACATTACTATCTTGTGCTTCGTGCCAATATCAGTTTAAATTAATATCTGTACTACACATATTTTTCTTTCTAGGAGATTGATGAGTACATTGTGCAAGCCAAAGAACGTAGTTATGAAACAATGGTGAATTTTGGTAAACAAGGCTTAAACTTAGCTGCTGCTGCTGCAGTGACTGCAGCTGTAAAGGTAAACAGTACTGCATGTTATGCATTTACTACTTAGCATAAAATAGGTAAGTGGGGATGTGTGTTCAAAAAGGTACGAGGCGAAAAGCTGGATAACCTTTTCTAACAGCATATTCTAAAAAGTATGTTCTCTCAAACAAGAGTTGATTTTTTAAACAGTGAAGATGACTCTTTTTTCTCTCTTATTGCTTTTCTTGGTGGTAAATCACATTCCACAGGATTTCTGACTTCTTTCTGCTGTTCTTCGATCAAATTGAGGTAAATGTTCATGGAAGATTAAAGCATGAAACAGTGATCAGTATGGTTGACTGGGATATTAATATGATTCCCGAATGAATTCAAATTTGTAAGAAAAATAATTAAATTGATGAATTTAATTGCTGATGCTTACAGCTGTCTGATATTAGTAGACAGCCAAATTGGGCTTTTCACATGGATTCAGACATGTTCCTAATTATCTGTAATTTGCCTAAAATACAAGGTGTCTCCATTTTTACATTCAGAATACTTATTGAGTATAATGAGATCACAGTGACAAAAGATAGGGAAGCTGCATAAGCATATGCTTTTACAATAATTTTGAATGGAAAATACAATTTGTTCTACAACTAGAATTTGTTCTTGATAGCAAATTATACACATATATTAGGGCTATCCTTTATCATTTTTTGAAATAATTTTATCAAAGATTATAAATTGAAATAAAAACTAATATACTAGACTAATAAAATATAAAATAACAAATAAAATGTGTAAAAAAGAAAAAAAATAACTTTAAGTATGAACAATTTTAGTAACTTATCACTCTCTCTTAAAACATAACATATTCTCTCTTTACCCCATGTCTCATCTCTTAGCTAAAAACAAAATCTAAAATCTTTGTCATTCATTTCTTATCAGCAAAAGTCCAGAGATAATTATCTATTTTAATTTAGGATACAGATACAGATAATCAGAGTTGGAAGGGACCTTGTAGGTCATCTAGTCCAACCCCCCGCCCAAGCGGGAGACCCTACACCATTTCTGACTACACTTCATCATTGATGCACATAAAACGAAACTGAGGAGTGGGCTAACTCATGTAGGTGTCAGTAGAAGTTGCCAAGCAGTTTCTATAAAGTAGCAGCGATCGCTTTAGTCAGTATAAAATGAAATATTTGTAAAAGTGTAAGTAGTTTGTGATTATTGCTGGAATATTCTCTGGCTTCTCAAGTTCCCAAGATATAAGCTATAGCGGCTTATTCCTAGAAAGTCTCTTCTGATAAATACTCTGCAGAATTTGCCCATTAAGGTGAGGAAGGCAGTGGGAAATATGGACCTAGGTATGTAAGTTGCATAATTAAACTTCCAGGTTTCCTGAAACCGCAGTTTAGATGTCTGCTTTCCTTCAGATTATATTACCTTAAGTGCTAAAGTGAACATCTGATCAATGAAACCATTATTTTCCCCATAATATACTAAAATTATTCTCAGTTCTTCGGAGTTGTTTATTGTGAAGACACAAGTTTACACAAGTTGTCTGATAGCAATTTCTGCAAGAGGAGAATAGTAACAAACAGCTTAGCACGTTACCACAGCTTAAAAAAGAACCATGAACCAGGATTGTTTATGGCTTTAAACAGGGCTATTGATAGAAGAAGCCAGATTCTAATGCTGATCAGATTACAACAGCTTTGCAGTAGTTTAGCTTCTTTTAACAGTAGATGGAATTATTTCATCTTGCTTGTTCATCTTATGTCAAATTTTCAGCAATTCAGTTTACTATGAGCATTTCCATGATGAGAAATCTCAATTTTGTAATGCCAGGGTTTCCACATCACATTATTCATGCTGACCAAACTCATGTTTATTCATTTTATTCTATTTTTCTCAATGTGAAATTGTGAAACTGATTTTCGGTCAGAAATATCTCCTGAAAGATGCAAACAATTGAATAGTTTGTTTCAATTACATCCTTAAATTGAGCAGCAACTAAATTAAGAGACCAAGAGAACACAAATGATGTGGCTTGTTTATGGTTTCCCGTGGTGCTTTGCCTGCTGTGGAAACATTTCATTTCCTTTACTTCAAACAGTGTGACCTCCAGAGATTAAAGCTATCAGAACAACTTCTCATCTTGCTTTCTTACTAAATACTTTAAATATGTGCATGTTTACCTAATAATTACAATTGCCAATATTAGCTTTTATTCTCAAGAACAAAGGTATGATAGTCAGCATTTGTGCTATATATTAGAGCTGTGTTTAGATGACTACATACCTCTAATAAGTAGTTATTTGAACAGTTAAAAGAAAAAAAATGACTCCACTCAGCCCTTTACATTTGGGATTATGTTAAACCAAATTTCTTTTAGGCAGAATTGAGAGGATGGCTAATAGATTAGTACATAAATTAATGAAGGCAGGCTTTTAATATGGTGCTTGGCTTTTACAGAATAGACATTAAAAGAGGCATAATTTGAATAAGGCTCAATTTACATACTAAATTATGGATTTAGGAGTTGAATTTAATTAATTTTGGAGGGTATATTGAGAAAAAAAATCTAACCTTTATAGAGGAAAGAGACAAATTCAGTTCTAAATTATCACCCTACAGTTGTTTACAATGATAAATATAGAAACACTTACATAGAATTTCAGATAAATTGTAACCTGCAAAAAAACCTAGCTTAATATTGATGGGAATTGACATTTGCAAACAAGTTGTGTTTTAAATTGCTTACAAAGAGAAAAGTGAGATCACACAGTGCTCTGTAAACTGCCCAAGCCAGATCCAACGATAACAGGCATCTTCTTGGGATTCACTCAGAAGCTTTTTCTTACTTAAAGGGGTTCTGAATCTAAACAAGTAAATTTTGTTCAGTTGCTGAGAAGACTCTCCCTTAATACATACAGCAAGCTTATACAAACTTATCCACGTGTAATTATGTTCCTTGCAGAGCTGCTTGAGGATGCTCCCACACTAATACTATTTTGTAGCTTGTTGGCATGATTTTATTAGAATTCTGTATTATTGCCAGTTCAGGCCTCCAAGGGAGGCTTTTACTTTACAAATGTTATGAGTTTGCTTGCAAGCAAATTTTATGTGACAGACTCAGGTAGCCAATGGCAGAAAGATAGATCTGAGTGAATCTGTGATTCTGTGAACAACTCAATCTGCCTGCCTGCTTTGCCTGACTTTGCTCTTTTTTTTATAAAAACATTCAATATTTACATAAATATTTATAATATTTACATACAAGCCATGCCCAGCCAGTCACATGACTACCAAACCACACCCACAAATTAGGCCACGCCCACAGAACTGGTTTGTTAAGAAATTTGAATCCCACCCCTGCCTCTCTGTGTTTGTGTGTGTGTGTAAGAGAGAGGGAGGGAGAGAGAGAGGATAGATCAGATCTCTTTCTCTCTCTCTCCCCCCAACGTCAGCAAGCCACCATCAGTCAAAATTCATATTAGTGGTCCCCGGGATTTAAAATTATGAGTTTGGTGGTCCCTGAGGTCCAAAAGGTTGGCGACTCCTGTTTTACGTCATTTCTTTCTTTAACTATAGCTGATAGCATGTTCATTTATACGAGGCTTAGGAGTTTTTTTTTAACGTGCAATGACCCAGGCTTATTCAGTTATATAATTTGGCTGAAACAAAAAGTGGGGAGGGGTGGTTTCGTCATTTTGGGCTCACTATGTTATAGGAAAACCAGCTATTACATTTTGAAACTAGAACCTATTGTAGTGTATTGTTTAGGCTTAAACCTTTTTGGTTTTTAAAATCACATTTAAGCAAAATGGATGAATATATATAAATCCAGAGTCATAAGCTGTAGACTCCTGATTCACATTATACTCATCCATTTTGCTTAATTGTGATTTTAAAAAATCAGAAATTTTAAGTGATTTTCCTAAACTATTGCAATATCAGCTTAAAATCTACTAATCATTAAATCAGAAATACAAGAATTATGTTATTTTTTTTCTTTGCATATGCCTTATTTCTATTCCATGCATAGTGTTCTTCTACCATTTAAACTATATAATATGTTAGAATTGGAATAAAATTGTGTCATCAAGAAGTTTATTGTATGTATCTAACATTATTCCAGGACATACTGCTATATTTTTATCACATATTTATGTTAGTCACATTTTTTTTAATTTGCCATAGAATCTTCCTGTCCAGAAAATATATGTGGCACAGGTTTTTTTAATTAGTTAATTATTATTAGTCATTATTAGTCATTCTCTCATATTTGGGTTAGGGTTAGAGTTATATTCATTCATGCGTATTCTATTTAATGTTTATGCCACCCATTTACTAAAATTTTATGCCACCCATTTCCCCTGCAAAGTGACATTTTTTGATGTTATATTAGATAATTATTTCCCAGTGCAATTTGAATTAAATAGTTATGCTAAACATAGTTCTTAATCTAACATTTGAAAAGTTTTGTCAATTGTATGCTAAAGGTAAGTAACTTTTATCATTTGGTGCAATATATTTTGAATTGGTATTGCAAACTGTTGGAAACCAAGTCTTTAATAAAGTCCAATGTAGTCATATATATTCATATATAAGCTGACTCTCACATTTTTAATCAAAATGCCATGAAAAATGTACCACCTGCAGATAAGCTGACCCATATTTTATCTGCAGATGGGCTTATAGAATAGAATAGAATTCTTTATTGGCCAAGGGTGATTGGACACACAAGGAATTTGTCTTGGTGCAAATGCTCTCAGTGTACATAAAAGAAAAAGATACATTCGTCAAGAATCATAAGATACAACACTTAATGATAGTCATAGGGTACAATAAGCAATCGAATCATACTAGGAAACAGTCAATATAAGTCGTAAGGATACAAGCGACAAAGTTACAGTCCTACAATCACAAGTGGGAGGGAATGGGTGATCAGGAGTGATGAGAAGATTAACAGTAATAATAGTGCAGACTTTGTAAATAGTTGAACAGTGTTGAGGAAATTATTTGTTACTGAAAACAGTACTGAAAAAAATTGACTTTGACACCATTTCTTAAACTGAAGACTTTGGGTCATAAGATAAAAAATTGATTCTGCTTGCATTTATGACCTGCTGCTGTACCTTCGGTGCTTGCCAGCCCACATTCCCTAGTCTCCGCCTGCGGTAGTTGCTTGCCTGCCAGTGCTTCCTAGCTCATGCCTGAAGTGCAGGAAACTCTGCTGCCACTACTGACAACAGAAAACACAGTCAACATAGGTTCTTTACTTAGGCAAAGGCAGTGCTTCACTCCATAGAGGACATTAAATAATCAATACCACACTGTAGCAGTAAAGATACTCTGCCTCACAGAGGGTGTGGCTTCTTTTGTTTCCAAGATAATGATAGGTGTATGGGGCATGGGGGGCCGGGAAGTGTGCTGTTGCTCATTCAAGGCCTGATGGATACCTACTATTGGCTGTGTTTTCTTTTGCAGTTTCCTGTTCTTTTAATATCTTTGGGATGTATTTTGGCACATTTGTCTCATTTATCAATATTGTTGAAATGAAGATCAAATAGCTGTATGTAAAAATGTGTTGAAAAAGTCAAGACAAAAATTTTCAGTGAGATGCACTCGTTTTCACGTGACCGTATATCAGTTTGGACAAAGGATTCCTTCCTCCCATTGAATGGCATCTCATTTTTCCTCTTCAATACTACAGGGTCAAGGAGCAATAACAGAGAAGTTGCGGAGTTTCAGTATGCATGACCTCACAGCAATACCAGATGATGAGCCAATAGGACAAAGGCACTATCAGACTTTGCCTGCTACCAAAAAGAAAAGCAAGAGCTCGATTCCCAATGAGCCTAATATAGGTTGGTATATTATTAAGCTAGGCCAGTTCTGATTTTCTAGATTTTGTATAAGAAGTGGTGGATGACCCTCCATTGAAGTCAGATCACCAAGGGCACTGTTCCCTCCTTGGAATGTTGACACTATGGGATTTGATGCCAGAGTTTCAAAAAAAATTCTCTCCAAGGCTTTTGTAGGCCCTGCTTTTTACTGCCTACCTCCAAAAGCATTAGCTTGGAGTATAGGCATGGAATTGATACTATCGCTTCAAATAGTTTTTCTAAATGAGTAATGTAACCCTATGCAAAGACGCACACAGAGGTTCTTATCTCCATTCCTTCATGGATTCTTCCCATCTACTTAATTTACACAAACCAGTTTTCCCTTATTTTCACTTTGGCCAGATCATTTACTATCACAGGTATGGATGAAAACAAGTGTTTTCTGAGTCTTTTTAGTGCTGTATTTACCTTCAGGCATATGGATTAGTTACAACGAGTGAGGCAGTGGCCTAGATGTGGAGCTCTCACCTCACAATCAGGAGGCTGTGAGTTCAATCTTAGGCAGGGGTAGGATACGACAGGGTTAACTACCGGTTCTGGATTTACAAGCTTCCCTGCAGGCTGCGAGCAGCGCGCCTGTAAATCAGCAGCAGCAGCTGCCTGCAGAGAAGCAGCCTTCGAAACAGCCTTCTTTTCCTGCTTTTCTAACTGCAGCTGTGCCTCGTTCAGCAGTTGAAGTTGAAAAATCAGAAAATAAAGATCAGGTAAGAGCCCGGTTCTATGTCTGCTGCTCTTCAGAGCTACCGGTTCTACAGAGGTGGACAGAACCGGTAGAAACCCACCCCTGATCTTAGGTAGTGACAGGTATTTCTCTGTCTGGGCACAATGGGTAAACATCAGTTGTGAACTCTGCATTGGCGACAGGAAGGGCATCCGGCCAGCAAACACTCAGTTCCATTCAGTTGCCCCAACTCCACCCCGTTGCAAGGTATTACGGGGTCATTAAAAGAAAAAATATATATAGATTAGTTACAAATTTTGTACAGCTATCATTTTGGAGGGAGGACATTGCCTCATTTTCTTAAACATTTTTAAGCCTTAAATATTAAGCATTAAGCATTTGAGGGTTCTTTTTTAAAGTAGGAAATGATCAATCAGTGGTAAAACAGTATTTTGAATTTTGATTTTACCCCTCAGGTTATGGTATTCCAATAAAAAGGGATTCTGAAGATGATAAAACAGATGAAGAGAGGGAAGGGACATATTCAGAAGATGAGATGTTTGCTCAAAGAGGTCTCCGTCGAACACAAAGTATGAAATCTGTAAAGACGATAAAAGGACGCAAAGAGGCAAGTAAATTGTTCTTAACAGTATGAAATGCTATAAGTGAAAAGGTGGAAATCATTAAATATTTTTATTGAAAACATTTTAACGTAGAAGCTTAACTTTTCTGAATCTCAATGCAAGAAAACTGCAAACCAGAATTTGATCCTGATCTGTTCAAATTAAGTAGCAAAGACTGGTTTGGTTTAGGGAAAAAAAAAAACCTTGTTGGAGGTAAGAGGGAGAACCAAGATTGCACACCATTTCTTCTTGTAAAAGTAAATAAGCATTTGTGGTTATATTTGAATGTTCACTTAAATGTGTAAAAACTAGTACTTATATGAAGATTATTAGTGCCCATGTCATCTTGGGGAATGTCTTTCATTAATAATGTTGCTCACTTCTTTACTCACATATTTTGTTTGAAGAGTTACCCAAAAGAAAAAAAAAGAAGAGATTTGAAAGGGCAAATTTGCTTCATTAGCTCTTGTGGTATTTTTGTTAGCAATAATTTCAGTATTTTCTATTCTATCATATAATTTGGTGTCAGTCATTTGTGATTTTGATTCATGAGTTAGTTACCCTCATACATGACTTTGCTGGAGTCATATAGTTCTGATGATTTTTCTGGAACTTTCCTATACATTCTTATTCTATTCTAGGCAAGCTGTTGTGGAAATTGAGAGTATTGCATTATGCACAGGTGTTTTTTTTTTAAAGATAACTAAAAGCCAGTATATCAAAACGTGGGACAATAAAAGCCAGTATATCAAGACGTGGGACAATAAAAGCCAGTATATCAAGACGTGGGACAATAAAAACTTTAAAACTATTTTGCCTAGGAATAGAAAAAGAGTAAGGGGACATGGTTCTTTTGGGTCCTGTTCTATTTTTAACTCAGTGGAAACCAAGGCATAGCTCCAATTTTTATACTTATTTTTCTATATAGGTACCCCTTAACATATGGCCATTCATTTAGCTACCATTCAAAATTAAGATAGTACTAAACAGACATACAACCTGCAACTCAAAATTTGCATCGTTGCCATACCCCAATGGTCACCTGATGAAAATATGAGTGCTTGGCAATCCATCCCTTCTTACGACCAATTGCAAGGATACTGCAACTGCACCCCACCTGCCTTTCTTTACTCCCATTCTTCTCCACTGCATCCCAGAGAGCTTGGGGCTCCTTCGCACTCCATCTCTTTGCTCCCCTTGCCTCTTCCAAAGACTGTGTCAGGCTACGGAACTTTTCCCATTCAATCGACAAGAATGAACTTCTGAAACTAGACAATTCACGTAGGGATTAAAAGCAGCGTCTAACGTCCCTCAGGCATGCAGTGATAGATACGGGAGTTTAAAACCCCTCCCCTTATCTTGATGTGTATTTTGTAAAACAAAGAGCCAACGTGTTAATTCCCCCTTCCCTCTTTTGAGAACGATCTTTTTTAGAGTTTCCCAGGACACATCTCCCTGCTGGGATTTTTATGGTCTCTTCATCCCCTGGCTGTCTCTTCCAGAGGTGACAGGTTTCCGGGGGAATCTGGTTTCCGTCCCTCCGTTTTATCCATGTGTAGGTTATACAAATTTAATATAAGATTTAATATATTCAGGTTACATCAAAAGGGTTTCATCATACCAACTTCCCTCCCCCCTTCTTCTTCCATGAAGAATGGCAGATACACAGATCTGACAAGACTGCCTTTCTGAACTAGTGCCCCAATAATGCGACACACAGCCTTCCTACAGAGGCTGCCTTGTGACATTCTGGAAGCAAGTGTCATTCTAGTTATCTCTCAAAGGGTGCAATTTTCCAAATCACACACTTTGGGAAACTTGGCTCTTCTGATAGATCGTGCGAATGGTGTCTGTTTCCAGAATGGTACAAAGTGGCCTCTGAGGGAAGGTCACTTGTCGATTGACTGGCTGCTCTTTCAGAGAGGCAATGTTTGGAAGAGGTAAGTGGAAGATGTGATGAGGAGGGGAGGAGGCCCAAAACTATGGGATCTAGTGAGGAGGTAAGCTGGTGCCTCAGCTGGTGGTGGGAGGTCCTGGTGCAAGCAATATGTGAGTTGGAGGTGCTCTAGTGTCCTGCGCCTGAAACAAGAGTGCAGGCCTGAGCCTGTGCCAGACCTCCCAGGGCCTTTCCCACTCCTAAGGAGCCCTTCACTCATCCTAATGACTCACTTGATTGCCTAGCAACTACAACTGTGATAGCCAGGATTGTGGTCATTGAGCGATCACACTGTTGCCCTGCTTAATGACAGCTATGACTTACAATGGTAATTCCAGGTTCAATTGTTGGAAGTTGTGACTAACTATAACACTAGCCTTGGACAGCAAAATAAAGAAAACAGAAGAACACATGGGGCTTCATAGGTTATTACTTGTACCCCCTTATATCTGTGCCTATGGTATTAGTCATTTTGGTGAACTGCATGCTGATATGAAATGGATTGCATTCTGTTATAGGTCTTTACTCATATCCTCATGTTGGATGCCATTTCCTCCCCTCCCCATTAGGAAATAGCAACCAACATCAGATTTTTTTTGTATTAGAAATTGTATTGTGGTATCTTGAAATCTTTTACAATATTCTTTATTTGTTCCAGCTGCGATATGGCTCACTAAAATACAAAGTGAAGAGACGGCCACAAGTATACTTCTAATCTACAGAGTTCAGCTAAAAGCAAACATCTGTACTAATAGTTTTCTGCTGTGTTCTGATCCTGTGTCCTCTTCCCGTTCTCTGAGAAACAGTTGGCATTTATGGATTCCTATTCTCAACACACAGCTTTATTTCAGTTACACAAGAGAAAGGAAAAGACCACCTGGATGCATGTTATGCTTTGGTTTCACAAATACCAAAAATTAAATTATATATTTTTTCTTTTAAGAGAGAAACATATTTAGCCAATTTTTACTAAATGAAACTTTTGTGAATATGGGTAGCTCTTTAGATTTCTGTGCTTCATGAATTAAATAATTTCATGACAGATTCTTAATTGTGCTTCAATAGCTGAGTATTTTACATGTTAGCTGATGTCCAGTGCTTAATAAAAATGACACATCTGTAGAATTTCTGTACTATATTGGGCATCTTGTTGTTGGAGACATTGTATTTTTAAATTTCTCAAGTCAAGAGCGTGAAAAATTGAAGAACACAGGGCATATTTTGCAAGTAATCCTCTGAAAGAGTTGTTTAAGGTCATGGAAAAGGGTTCACCACCTCGTAAAACCAGCCATTTTCATTGAGGAATTCCTCTCAATGCCCTGTGAAATGAAGACATTTTTGTTGGGTTCGTTTGTTTCTATGCAGCTTTTCTATTGTTTACTGTAATGGTTTGAGATGGCCGTGCATTTAGCATAGCTGATGATGAAAATCATAGTTGTGTTTCTGTACACTCAGCAATTTATATTCCTTCCTTCCTTCCTTCCTTCCTTCCTTCCTTCCTTCCTTCCTGCCTTCCTTCCTTCCTCCCTCCCTTCCTCCCTCCCTCCCTCCCTCCCATCCATCCATCCATCCATCCATCCATCCAAATAAGTTCTGCACCAGTAGGGATCTGCTGTCCAGATTTTTATGCAAACTATCTTACACCATTCCTTGTAGATGACAAGAATTGAAGCTTGAAACTTCTGTATGCAAAATATTGTTCTACTAATTAATATCTTTATCAACTACTACTTATGAGTGTACTGAGATAGGTTAAAGGATTTCAAAGATATCATTTGAAATTGAATTCAGTTTGCCTATTATGTGTAAAAAGGAATAGGAATATGTTGGATAAAAAACATCAGATTCTGCAGTCAGATATGTTTTATCATGTATTGAACAAATTTAATATGAAAACTACCATTTAACCAGCACTTTTGCAAAAAAAAAAATTGCAAAAAAATTGAATTTTGTAGGTGTTTTCAGAAATCTTACATTTTGTGTGTTTTTTTAAGTGTTGTTTTGGTGACTGTGGCTTATCTACATCAAAGTGGAAGGATTCATATTTGGGCTGTGCTTAGATATTGTAAGAGATATAGGAGAAAACTAGAGTACCTCCATTGTTCGACTAGTAGGCTAGTCAAAGCCTCTCTGTGCAGATGACATTGACTGCTTATTTCATCCTTTTCTCACAACAAAATCTGAAATTCTTTTAAAGCCATGCATGTATTTAAAAGTCTGGTTTTGAATTGGTAGTTTGGAAAACATTGCGCTTTGCTAGTTTCTTGAAAGATGATTTTGCTTTGCTGGTCAAGAAAGTCTTCATATCTTTAGTATTGCATCAGGATGTAAAAATCATGTCAAGTACTTTTTAAATAGTATTTAACAATTAATGAAATGAGATCAATAGTTTTAGACTTATCATAGCTGTTAATCCTAGCAACATTTTAAAAAGAATACTTGAAAAAATTGATTTTTTTTTCACTTGAAACTAGGCTTTAAGGAAAGGTAAGTAAATCCCAAAGGAAGATTGGATTAAAAAGAAATTTACAAAAAATACCAGGCAATATATATATATATATAGTGTTCTTTGGAGAAGAGCTAACAATTCAGTGTGGAATCCTGGAGGTCTATCCAATATAAGAAAGTAAATTATAGTTTCTATATTATTTTGGGCATCAGAAATAGATTTTATCTCAGAAAGAGAGCCTGCTTTTACATTTCATTGTATTTATTAGTGTTATGTTGGGTACAGGAAGAATAGAATGTGATTAAAAGGCATACAATAGACTCAATATGTCCTAGCATTTATCTTTCACAAGTTTTTCCTTACTCTAGACCTATGATTGGTAAACTTTATATTAGATAAGAAAGGGAATATTCATCTTAGTTGCATGTTTCCTTTAAAGACATTTGTCACTTTATATAGAAAAGGTCACAGTACTAAGTCAGACAAATAGTCATCCTAACTTGCCTCTTCCACCAGATCAGACCAGATTTAAATAATTATTAAGTTGGCATTTTAGGCTTTAAAAAAATGGTCAAGGTCTTGTCATCTTGCTATCCATGTTACTGTATAAGACACTTCAGAAGCTTCAGGGAATAAAGAGTGTTTCCTCTCTAGAAGTCAGAGAGGCATGGGTGTTTTATGTTGTCAGGGCTATATTTTGTGAGCATTTTGCATTTCCTTGTAAAGTGTTAAAAGCTGAAAATTTGTTACTTAACTCCATCCATTTTTTAAAAAAATTGTTTCTGTGGGTATGTGAGTTTTAAATAGTGTAGTTTCTTTAAATATCAGTCTTATGACAAGATAATTATTCACTCCTTAATATGAACTGAAAATGGAGCAGAGAATAGCCTGCAGATTGCCCACCTTTCATATAACTGGTGTTGCCAGAGTAGGTACTTAAATTTCTGTCTCTAGTTCTGAGAAGTTCTAGCCTGCATGGCCAATATTCAGGGATAATGAGCATTGTAACCCCAAATGTCTGGAATTCACTTAGGACTCACTTTGATGCCACTCCCCCCAAGTAATGTATAAAGTAGAAACCTTCTTAATATGGGTGCATCTTAAGGAAATCTCTTGCTCTGCAGATTCCCACAACATAGGCATTGAGACATCAAAAGACTCAGGACTTTCCATGAAACTTCAAGTAGTATAATATTAAAAATAGGTATAAATTTCATTGAACTAAATGCCATTGTGACTACCATCCAACCTATAACTTCATGGCAAGATAAATTCTAAAATATAATGTAATAGTTCTACCATACTGATTTACCTGCTTTAACCAAGATACAGGGGCTTCACAAGGTCAATGTATTAGCAAGCATTATGCAAAAAATATGCAAAGGGAACAATAGACTGCTGTTTAATAATTTTTAACAAATGCAATTTCAATATTCGGATTCATAATTTTAAAGTCTAAAGCTAACTTTTCTATTTGTAATAGATTGTAAACTTGTTTATGTATTTGTAGTACTAAGATATGTCTTTTTCTAAACTTTTGTACTGATACTACTGTATCATCATAATTGCTATTTTTGAAGATGCAAACGAAGGCTTATATTTTAAAACTATTACTTAATAAAATGAATATTTTCCAGTGGGTTTGTCTTGTCTCATTTCTATGTAATGCAAATTAATAGTGGTAAATAAACTAATAGCATTTAATCACGGTAAGAATAATGACAAATTGGAATTTTTAAAGGTTGAAGTTTGAATTTCACATGCTTACCCAGGAATAATTTTTACTGAAGACAAAAGAACTTCTAAAAAAAAGTACAGATAGTCCTTGATTTACAATCATTTATTTAATTAGTTCTCAAAGTAACAATGGTCTCAGAAAAAGTTACATATGACTTGCCTTCACACTTAGGACCATCAACCACTTGCTTGAATTTATGACCAGTTGCAGCTGTCGCAACTGCAATTTGCAACCTTCCCAGCCAGTGTTTGATTTAAAAAATGTGACCTGGGGAAGTTGTATTTGCTTAATGAACAACTGATTCACTTTGCCAACTCCAATAGAAATTGTCATAAAATTGGGGCTGGTGATGTGATGACTTGCATTGACTTAAAATTCTTGTCCCAACTGTGGTAATGAGTCAAAGATTACTCTACATAAAATTGCCTTGTAATTGCATTATTTGCTTTTGTAAATCACTTTTTAAGGTATCACAAACCTTGTTCTATTTCAGCCCTTTTTTGCCATGAAATGGTTTGTCCTATTTCCTTTTGTAAGTTTAGAATTTGTTTTGCCTTTAATAACCTTTTCTTGTACTGTTTATAATAGAATTTGGTAATTAGTAACAGATAAATTGGTTTCTACCAAGTCAGTTCCATTCAGGTCGTACATACTGTATAATGATATTCTGTACTACATTTGTATGTCATCCTTACTCCAATGAACTCAAGCTAGGATCAATGGGGATTAAGAATTTTGGTTCCCTTAACAGTTTGGGAGTAAATTAGATTGAAATCAACTAATTTCCAGCATAACTCTAGGATGAAAATGAATAATTCCTTCATTTTTGTTTATTTTCTCTTGATTTTTATTAGCTGAAATAGTTTAACTTCTCAGCTTGGATCTTTGCTTTTAGAGGTTGCTCATTAATGCTACAAAGGTAATTCATTTAAAAAAATGCATTTTAAATATAACATTCAAGCTTCATGATCTGAGAGCAAATAATTTATTGTGTGTTACCTTGCAAATATGTCCAACCTTTCAGAAGATTTGGTTGCAGACAATAGGTAGGGTTTAAAAAAAAACTGGGCAAATCTCTACAATCAACTTTTCTGTGTTCATTTCCTGCTTTCTGTGCTCTAAAGCAGGGGTCCCGCGTGCCATGGACCGGCACCAGACTGTGGCATGCCAGAAACAGGCTGCAGACTGCAAGCAGAATGCAAAACCACACCCCCACCAGGCCACGGAAAAACCTTTCCAAGGAACCAGTCCCTGGTGCCCAAAAGGTTGGGGGCCATTGTTCTAAAGTTCTGCACAGCTCTAAAACCAGTTTGACTGGACTAGGTGCTTCTCATCAAGAAAGAAGAAATCTTGCTAAACCAGGGGAAGCACTAGGACAACATGTTACAATATATAATCCAACATGTTAGATTATAAATTATAATTCTTCAGTCTTTTATTGATTGCTGATTAGGCATAGAATTCAATTTTTAAAATGTCACACATGCCTCTCCAGCCGTAATTCAGGACTCTTGCATATATTTATAGTGGAACTAAAGTGGGAGCTGTTTGGTGCAGTGGATAAGGAAACTGGGA